ATCCTTGACGCGTTTGACGCGCTTGACGCGCCGGTGGACCCCCTATACGCGCTTTTGTAGCACGGTGGGGGGGAATCTGGCGCGACATGTGCGACAAGGCGGGTAAGCCCTATACACGCTCTTGTAGCGTGGTGGGGACGGTCCTCGAACTTGACATTGGCAACGCCGACGACTGCTACGAAAGGTATAATGTCCCAAATCCCATTCTCGACGTTTGTATCGTATCGAAGAACCACCTATATGGGCTCTAGTAGCACGGTAGGAGGGAGCCTGGTGCGATGCATACGACGAGGTGGGTAAGCCCTATACACGCTCTTGTAGTGTGGTGGGGAGAGCCACTAGTGTTCTGGTACGGTTACTATTAAAGGCCCCATACACGCTCTTGTAGCGTGGTGGGATGAAAAGATGTACGACCGCGGTGTTTAAGGACACCTACCATACACGCTCGAGTAACATGGTGGGAAGGCCCAGCTCCCCTACTTTCCCCCAAACGGGGGATATGTTGGGATGCTGCCAAAATTTTTACTGAAGTATACAAGACTTGAAAAATTTGAAGGCATCATTTGAGCAGCAATACGAAGGACAACAGAGGACCCGTACTTGAACTCAAAGCATAGAACTTGGACTCAAACGAACAGTGGACTTGAGGACTTGTACTTGAACATAAATCAAAATGAATTCAATTCAAACTTGAACAAAATACAATTTAGAATTCAATATAATAAAAGGACCTAACACGGACTTAAAAGAACTCAAACTTGAACTTTTAAGAATAATAAGGGACTCAGTCTTGTGTTTGATCCGAACAAAAAACTTGAACTCGCACTTGAACTCGTACTATATAATATTAAGTGGGAGTTGTAGACTCGATGAACTCGAGTCTAAATGAAACTTATCTCGGACTCAAACATATATAAAGGACAGCTTTAATCATGTGCGAGAGAGTTCGAAGTATAAGAGCATTTGTATGGTCAATAGTGACTCAAAGTACGTTACAAGATCTCGATGCATGAACTCTTACGACAACCCCTACAAATGCCTGTTGATTGAGATGGCAATACTGGAGACCAATAATAGAGGATCTGCCCCTACAAGCAAGTACAATCAGCAAAACACTACCTGAGATTGGTGAAAGGTGGATGTGATGCAAGGACAACGGTTCTCCTATGAATATTTTCAGGAGGTCGTAGTGGATACAACAATTCCCTTCAAACGAATACTTGTGGATAATAACAGTTTATTGTAAGTACAATGAACCACTTTGGACACAAGTATGGATATCACCTGCGACAATGGTGATCAAGATCTTCAAGTACGTCAGTACAAGGGCAACCTGATTTATGGAAAAGGACACCCCCTGGCAGAATGGAGAAGATGTTTGAGCAAGTTCAAACTAAACTTCCTAGTGTTCTAAAATTTCTTCTTGATCCTATACTCAGGAAGAAAACAATATTCGCATCTACAAATATCAGAGACAACAAGTCTACTACACTAAAGATCTTGAAATGAGATTTTTTCAAGGAAAAGCAGTGGACTTCAAAGTCCAGAAGAAACTCTCCCTGGTGAATGAGAAAGGGGTGAGTCAACATCAAAATGAGGAGATGCCTCATAACATCATGACCATACCGCCACCGAATTCGCAACACTCGTACTAGTGAACAGAAGGTGTGTATAAGCTCTTAAATGAAAAGTTGTGTGCATCCAAACGATAGTTATATACACAATTATAATTATTTCAAAGTATCCCTGCATGTGCACTATAAATTGTATACATATAGGTACACTAAAGGGGAAAATATAATCTCGACCCGTATGGGCCCCGGCGAGCGTGTTGTAGGAACACACGTGACGTCTAAGGATGTTGCGCGGGTCGATAAGTGAATTCAAGTTCAAACCCGATCCTTCTATACGGGTCAATAGAAGTTGACAGGGTTTGAACCAACAAACAAGTATACGGTCGCAACGACTGGTATATTTATTTTATTGTATTCATATTAGGCCGTCAAGGCCTATAGTAATAAGAATTCACTAACAAAGGAACAAAGCCTACAAAATCCGATCCTCCTAAGCAGGTAAATAGGAGTAGACAGGGTTTGAGCCATAAGATAAATATGCGATCATGATATTGACCATAATATTTATCTTATACATTCATATTAGGCCTTCAAGGCCTTTAACAAAGAAAATTCACAAATAAGGGCACAAAGCCTATGAAACCCGATCCCCTATCGGTAAGTTGATAGGGTCGACAAGGTTCAATCAAATGGAAATGACCACAAACACCCTGATGATGGCCGCGTTGATTGAATATCTCAACCGGAGGGGTTAATTTCGGGCATTTTTCAAATGTCTCTCAAAAGTCCACCCAAAAATCTAAACTCCACAAAATCTCAAAAATATTTAAAATTGAGATAAACTATCAATCGCTTAAAGCAAAATCCATCTACCCTCCGCAACAGTTTGCTGGGGTGGAAAAATCAAAATTTACTTAAGCTCACATAGAGCCAAATGCCTAGTCGAAAATATCACTATGATCCATTCTCAAACAATCTCCTTTCATTAAGGACGTGATACGTGTCCTCTGACCGACGGTTTTGCCGCTAAATGGCACCGCAGGATAAACGGTTATGACCTGGGACCCTCTGAACTGAGTGGTTTTGCCACCAAATGGCACCACGAAATACCGGTTATGGCCAGAGCCAATACGCTCCTTAGTGGCATCAAATCCTTGAGATATGAATCAATAGAATATGATTGATAGGGAACAAAGCCCTCTGTTAGCTAAGGTGGATTTAAATTTGTCCCTTTAGATAAACATCCAACTCAGGTCTACAAGGTCCCCTTGGACGAAACAACTCATGGTTGTCGACAAGGATCCTTCTGTCAGGTTGGGTCGACTACCTCCTCTGACTAAATAGACCAGGGACCACGATGGCCTCGGACAACGGAACCATGGGACCTTGATCGGGTCCATTATCCATTCCCCCACCATCCGCTTTAAGTGAAAGATGGTGAAATTTCTATTTTAAATATCAAAAATTTCAAACATTCAAACCCATTGCTGCTACTATATGCCATTTTCTACGTATCTGACCGACGACTAGCCTTAATCGAAAGTTCTCTCTTGTGATCGGGAGGGGTAATTAACTATAGGGGCTTGCGCCTATAGGAAACCAGAACTCTGATCATAAAGTCCTCGCAAAATGAGGGCGAAATCTCTGGGTAGTGTCTTATCTACAAACTCATCTGCCTTCCAAAATTTACCTTGGAACTTATCAGTTAAAACTCCCTCGCCGAAGAAAAGCAAACAGTCGCGGGTGGAGGTCGGGGCCGAATTTTCGGAGCCCACAATGAGCTCATAATTGGCTTTAATTTTATTGCTCCCTCCTTAGAAGATTTCTATAATCCAAGCTTTATATCATCCTATTGGGAGCTTTAATACTCCAATATAATATATTATGGGGCCAAATTTTATAATATGATCTAAGAAGGCTCTAGTAATTCATAGTGGCACATCAAATAGCCCATAACCATTATAATGAACTTTTATTGAAGGCTAAATTTGTTTCATCTTCATTTTAACTAGTGATTTCTTATAGGTTATATTATTGGTTCCAAGTGCTTAAGTGCCTCCTTCAATTAATTATTTTAATTTTTGTTTAATATCATTTAATTTTGTTTATGAGGCTTGTAATATGAGTTGCCTATTTTTAAATATATATATTTTAATTAAAGCTTGATGAGTCACCATCTTCCTAAACCTCCAAATATTTTAGTTTAATGGGGCCCATGATATTGAATGTTATGAACCACAAGAATAAACATTCTTATTATAATCAGCTTGACTTTCCTCTTTTCAACAGTCAGGGTGCTTGTTAGGTTTCTTGCTTGCATATAATTTAGGTGCCTACTGACACAACCTTTTTTTGACAATCAAATAGAGGTATTGAACTCACCACTGATACTTGAATTGCGAAGCAACCATGATGTTCATTATTTGACATCAGTGCAAGAAAGAAATCATTTCTTGGACCCGAATCAAAGATCAATGGAGGGAGGCTCAACTTTAGCAAGATTAAAAATCGAAGACCTAAAGGTCTTCAAAGTCGAGCTGAATCAAAGATTAGGAGCATCTAGGGTTGTCTTTGGTCCAAGTCTCTATACTTGCATGTCTTCTATCAGGTTAAAGATGGATGATCCTTCGTTCTAATTAGATTGAAGATCAATGGTTCTTCATAATTTTGATCCCTGCATTTGTGTGCAATTGAATTTTTGAGGGATAGAGAATTGAAAATTATTCCTATGCTCATGATGAAGTTGCAAGGTGTGAGATCATTTGGTATATGGTCGTTAGACTCAAGAAAAAGGAGCTCATTGCCTTGCATAGAGGGAGAGTGTTAAAATATGGTTATTGCGAGTGGCATTGCATCCTTTGGACGGAAACAACATCACTACTAGTTTGTAAATGAAGATTGGGATTGACAAGAGGTTGATATTGGTTTTGAGAATTGAGAGCATAGGAGAGTGCATGGAGAAGCTGCAAGTTAAAGGTTTGCATGTGCTGGTGGCTTCTTGTGAGAGTGGTGGACCTATGCTTGCGGAGTTTGAGCGTGGTAGTTCTCAGAAGAATCATAGATCATACTAGATGATGATAGATTGCAATGGGTCATGCCATCGTGGGGGTTGTTTGGACATAGGCTTTAGTAGTAGGGCGTGTGTGATTGTGCAAATAGGTACGCATGAATTCAGGGGAGGTGAGTCTCCTTTAAATGTGTGCGTCTAGAGCTTCTCATTGGCATAAGCTCGAGACATTTATTTATTTTTTTCTACTTTTTTGTGTATGTAGGGAGTGAGGAGGGGAGGCGGGAGTAACCTTTCTAATTAAACTCATACCAAAATTTTTTGGTTTAGATGAGATTCTTCCTTATTTGTATCAACTAATGTGGAATCTGTATATTTATTGTGGCAGCTAACTAAATGTTCCTTTCCCTCCTTGGCAGTTGCATACCTTTGTACAATTTCAGCTATACGTATGAGTACATAATGTCAAGTCCAACTAGTTTTGTGGACAGGTGAACAAGTTGATTTGTTTTTCCTTGCTCTTATAATCTTATTTCAGTGTACCTTTTTTAGTTGCTTTTTTTACATTTGTCTATTATATGCTTCACGTACAATTTGAAAATTTTATAACTTAAGTAGGGTCATAATTAAACATGGTGAATGTGGTTCACAAATTGCAAGTGTAAACTTGATGGGCTGCCATATTGCAGGTAGATTTATCAGTATTTGAAGACAATATTTTACAAGTAGTGTGCTGGGGAAACATATGAGAGCAATAGGAATAACTTTTCCCGAAATTAAATAAATGAATTATAGAAAATGGGATTGGATATCAATTACAATAATGATGGGTGTGAATCTTTGAGAGATTGCAGGAATACTGGAGCTTTATAGAAAAGATGGATTAAAGATTGAATACTTCGATACAAAACCTTTGCAGATAAAATACTAAAAATTGTGTCTAGCTATTTTTTATTATTTGAAATCATTGCCACTCATTGTTCTTTATTTTGTTCATATTGCAACTGACAATGCTTGTAAACTTTCCTTTTCAAATGTCTGCATCAACTACTCATAGTAGGATATTAAGAAGAGAAGTCATTCAAAAGTATTTCTGTTATGAACGTAAATATTACTAAGTTATACATAGATGATGTAAATACATCCACTTATAGGTGATATAAATATGCATTTATGTCATTGTCTTGGAAACCATCAGTGTTGTGATCAAGCTAGATTAGGATTTTATGATTTTTATTACTATTTTCTAATAGCATAATCCTGGAAGCAGTTTTGCAGATACTAAAGAGGGTCGTTATAATCCAAAAATGCATCTGGTTATTCCAATGCATAACTGGAGGAAGGGATCACAGGTGCTAAGTATATTCCTTTGGTTTTAAATTTAACATCATCCTTGTCAGTTTATTTAATTTTCTATTATTTTCTTGAGAATGTTACACATGTTTTCTTTTCTTGTACCAGTGGGCAGTGTTAATTAAGAAGCATGCTGAAATAATTGTTAATGACACTACGGTGCTCCCAGAATTTCAGAAGCATTGCAGGGTAAGTTGGAGGTCAATTCTGTGCATGCAAGTATCCTTCTTCTATTTTGTCAGTTTTTATTGTGTGAATTTATTTTCTTGTTGTAAATGCAAAGTGTAAGTATCATGTCAATGCTTTTGTTGACTGTCCATACGCTTATGATGGACTCTTTTATGGATTGTTAAAATTTTCATATGATCAAACACAAAATTTAATGTGAAGCAAGAACCACTAGCCCAAAGAAATGGCGACTGTCCAATTTGACCTGATTTGATTGAACTAGTACTCAAATGAGCCAATATTGATATGACCTTTCTTCTAATGAAATAAGTGTGTCGAAATTACAAACACTTGAACTAGGTGAATTGGGGCCTAAATGGGCTCAAAATAGTGTGATCTATTTTAAGTAGTAGGGTGAGATATGCTTTGTTGGAATTAAGATCGTAAATGGGATAACATGAATGAGGATTAGCTCAAGAACAACCAAGGTGTATATAATGATCAAAGATTCTCAACATAAGCAACAAGCAATTGTAAAGGAAACATGATCAACAAGAGTGTAGCAAGTATATCATAAGAACCACGAGTGTGCCAAATATCAATAATTTGGCAAGCAAATTGAGGAAGAATTTATAAACATTTCACACTACCCTACAAACTTGTAGAACTAAGTTTCTTGGACCTCGTTCCCACCATAAAATGTAGACATGAAGCGTTAAAGGAGAACATCTGCTTCTTCGCAAGTTGTTGCCTTTAGTGAGTTGTTTTCACTACTTGGACTTTGCTTTAGTCACACATTACCTTGTAGTTCTATGTTTTGCCAGCTTCTCCAAAGCGGATAATATCATTCTATTGGAACTTGCTTCCAATTTATAAACAAGTTGAAAATGATGCAATAATAATGTGCTCCATTGGTGGCATCTTTGGTTCCTCATATTCTAGCATTTTGAATGGTCCCCTATGATGTTCCACCAACTATTTTTTGACTCCATGTAAGGTATTGCAATAGACAATAGCTATTACACATGGTAGATTCCTAGGGGTTCCTTTAGCCTAGAATTTTAAATTTGCATGAATAGTCTTATTGTCAAGCTTAGTTCTCGTAAAATGGATAAATAAGGTAGAACCACAAAAGACTCGCACAACCTAATATCTAATTTTACATGTGGCATCCAATTAGAGAAATACTCTTCTACTAGAGCTATTGATAAGGTTTGCTCAGTTGAATTGTTGAATGGTGTTACCTTAGGCTCTCATTCCTTTCCCAAATGCACACAATACACATTAGTTCATCTAAGCATATTAATACTCAGCCATAAGTCATAATATTGCATATACACCCTTTCTCAATCTACTCAAACACAAACATACATGCTCATTGAATCATATATCACAAGAACCACATCCCTTCACTTAATCGTGTTCCTCCCAAGTAGTTCCAATCTACTCGAGCGGTTGCTACATTATTATAGGCATACATGCTCAATAATCAATGATTGACTCATTATAAAGAAGTAAATATCAAGAAATCTAGTGTAGCTTGTTTATCACATTATTGTCATGGGTGCATTTAGTAGCAATAATTGTGCAAGTAAACTATAAGGATGAACTTGCAAATAATACACACTTGCCAACAAATAGACTACATCTAACGTGCTAAAACTTCCTTCCCACCTCAAGATATAGACACACTATGTTTATATCCTCTATGTTAATAGGGTTCTACGTGATGTTAATTGTAGTGTGAAATGGCTTTGTACCTCTTTTAAAAAATATTTTGATGGGATTGTTAAAAAAGTAAAATTGTAACGAAATAATAAAACCAACGAGTAAATATGAGACTTTTTTTTTTTTTAATATTTCTCCTTTTCACTCACCAAAAATTTTTATTTATAAGTCATTCAATGCCTTAAGGCAAAACCTAATGCATGGAACTCCTCTTATGTACAGTTTGGGGAGAGGTTGAATTACACAATCTTACCCTTGTATATCAAAGATGTTATTTTGTGATTTTAATACATGGCCGTTAGATATCAATGTGGCAACTTGGCCACTGCTCCAAACTCACCATCTTTGTAGCATTCTTAAGATATGGTTAAATAAAATATAGTTACACTCTTATTTATCTTTAAAATTTAAAGATAAATAAGAGTGTGATGATATATTTTATTAACCACATCCTAAGAATGCTTCAAAGATGCTAAGAAAGTATTAGAAATGATTTTTTTTTTTTAAATTAGATTTAAATGATAATTTGACTTTTAATAAGACAATTGAGAAAATGATTCATATAGCCGACCCCACATAGTGGGATAATGGCTTGATGTTGTTGTTGTCAGTCTTCTTATTTATCTTTAAACACGCCCATTTAGTGATAAGTGGGGATGTAAACCCTAAAAATAGTTATATATAATTAAACAATGATTGTAGAGTGGGTGCACCAAATGTCTCTTTTTTGTTGATGAGTTGGGAAACTGCATGGTGGGATTTTATCGGACAATTCAGCAGTGTTGTGTTTTAAATGATTGGGATGAAGTCAACCCCAAAACATAGGTGGAGAGTGGTGTTACAATCAATTAAACATAATATCCATAGTACAAATGCATCAAGTGTATAGTGTACTTATTTAAATTAAGTTGATATGTTCTTTCAAATGAATAATAAAAATGCTATTAGCATATTATTTTATGGCAATTTATCATGGTAGATTTTTGTAATTAATTTTTTTTTAATGGATTTTCCATAATGAATATCTTATATTTAAAAGTATGTTTGAAATGCACTGATCAACTCCTGCTAATAGTTCCATATTGTCTGCTTTATTCAAGCACTCAAGATTTCAATTACTGTAAACTAATTCATTATTTGATCATCACCATTATCATCAAACTTACCCCAATTATTTGACATTGGGATTTATGTGTTTTTTCCTCCAATTATTATGATTTGATATAGCCCAAGTAACTTTATGTAATTGTAGTTTGAATGTATATTTTTGTTATATATATTTTATCATTTAAAGTTGTGATTATTTATTGGCTTGAATTTGAATTAGATGGTCGTTTTTTTAACTGTTAGGAATTTGGTTAAAATCATTATTTAATTCAAACTTGAATTGATGGTTATAGTTATACTGACTTGAAGTCAAGTTAGATGTAGATTCTTTTGCTTGTCATTTAGAATTTTGTTAGAATCTTTCTCTGTTGAATGACTAGATTCCGTAAATCACATTTAGTGGTCTAAGATTAGAAAGGGATATGGAATAGCTTAGATATTGTTTTGGTGGAATCCTGAATTTAAATAATGTAGGTTAAGACTTGATTTCACATCTATGCATAATTGCATATAAATAACCTCCAGTTAAGTTTTAATTTTGAGTTGTTAAATGTGATATATATGTAATACATTGGACCTTATTCATAAATTGGACAAATTTATCTAGCATTGCTTAACTAGTTCTTTGTGCTGCTAATAATTGATGTTTGTTTATTTTTTTAATTACATATTTGGCATTGAATCTTGCAGAGGAGATCATTACCAGAGTTTTGGAGGGATCGCCCACTTGTAAGTGTCCAAATTTTCTTGTTTTTTTTTTAGATTGAACGTAGAGAGTATATTTGAATTTTCATAAGTTAATTTAGTAGGCATAACTATAGAATAAAATGGTATTCACATCACATGGAAATAACATTTCTCAATTTTAGAATTTAAAGAACAAGACTGGGTTATGTTATCTTGCAATTTAGTTAATTTTCTAAACTATTGTGAAAATTATATTTGAATACTCTTGGGGGCCTAAGATTTATGCCCATTTAAATCAAGCTAGAAACTGGAAGACGTGATAGATTTCCTTTGGCATTTAATTAAGTTATGACAAACAATATTGGATATATGGTCATTTATATGAGACCTTGTTGGTAGTAACCTATGATACACTGACACGGACACGTCGACACGGACACGACACGGACACGGGACACGGACACGGGACATGGCATTTTTTTAAAATATAGGACACGGGTGCGGCGTGGACACGACATAATAATTTTTTTAATATAATATATAGAAATTAAGACGACATTATATTAAAAATGACAAGGAATAATAAATCAATTTCATGATAACTTGTTTAGCTTATAACATAAAAATGTTTAGTACAAAATATCAGTACAACCACAAAAATATAAGCAAAAAATCATTTAGTACAACATGAAGGTCCAACTATTCAATAGAGGGAATGATAGAATTAGGTTTAGATGTTGATTTTTGACCATCAATATCATCATCATTGAATATCATTGCTTCCAACTCTGGTTCATCTAGAAAAAGATTTGCAACCTCCAATAATCTCATATCATCAAGGCACTCGAAACCATCTCCAGTAACATCCCACATCTTATTATCACATGTCATATAAAGTGAGGTTTTCCTTGATAGAAGACGAAGATTATATTCCTCCTAAATCATAATGGATATTCTCTATTTGAACTACTATCCTTCAACATAGAAATTATAATTGATATGAAGTGAAATCAAAATATCTCAATAATAAGACAACATGAATACAACAATATATCGGTCTTTTGGGGTCCAATGGGGCTCTCCCCTAGCGGGGTTCGACCTGCCAGGGTAAGAGTAATTTTGAAGTTTTGCTTGTTTTTAAAGTTCGTAAGTTATTTGTATGGAAAGATATTGAGCGGTACCGAGTATGTACCTAGCGGTATCGAGCATGTACTGAGCGATACCGAGCATGTACCTAACAGTACCGAGTTTGTACCTAGCAGTACCAAGTATGTACGGAGCGGTACCGTGCATGTACATTAGCTTTTTTGGTAAGTTTCAAAAAACAACAATTAATATTTCAGGCGTCGAGAGTCAGGCGTCGATGTCATTTATCAATCACCGAGAGAAGAGATGAAAATACCTTCACTGCTAAAAAGAAATTAAAATGAGAATATTCAATGATTGGGTATTAAGTGCGGACGTTGATTTGATGTTGTGGATAGAAAATAAGAAATTTAGTTTTAATCCCGCAAAATACAAGAAATTATATTTTAAAAAATTCATAAAACGTGTCCGACACTCGTGTCCAATTTGCATATAATATTTTTAATCGGACACGTTTTCGGTGTGTCCGACACGTGTCGGAGGAGTGTCGGACGAGTGTCGGACGAGTGTCTTGTCAGACACGGTGTCTGACATTGCACGCCTCTTTGAGGAGAAGTGTCGGTGCATCATAGGTAGTAGCTAGGAGTACCTGGATGACTTGACTACACTATTGATAATGGTGAATAATCTTTTGGTGAGATTAATGGAAAGAAAAGGCTATACAAATTTATTTTTAATATCTTAGGGTGTGCTTTGAAGTTTGTGGTGGATGGATTTAGATAGGTTTAGTGGTGGAAATCTCAGGCTAGTCCACCTGGCTTAGTTTGAGTTTATTTGGAATATCTATTTACGGAATGGATTTTAAGTGGGCTAAATGGCAGGAAATGATGGTGGATGGTTAGCTTAGGATGTGGACTAATGATTTGGAGTAGATTGTAAGTTTTGGTGGAGTTTAAACGACTGTCGAGGGATTGGGAATAAGACTAGGTCCTAGAATTGCTCGGTTTGGCTAATAACTCTAGTTGAGATTTTTGAGTAACAACGAGGCTTGGGTTTGGTGGTGGTTGGGGAGGATGATTAGAATGTAGTCAAAGTATAAGAAAGATTGAGAGAAGGTGTTTAAGTTGTCAAGTGACAAACAAATGAAGATTAATTCTCCACCAAAAATATATTATTCAATAATAGAAATTTCATTAAATATTAGCTCCTATTGTTAAAAAAAAATCAATCTTGAACTTATTTTGAAGCAAAATTTGGTGGGAAAGAGGGAGTGGTTGGCTGACCCAAGGGAGTAGACCTGTGAAAGAGTATATCTCCGCATCTGATCCGTTGCAGTGGAGAAGAGACCACTACCCCGGCCCAAATTCTTTCTATGTTTAGAGCTGGCCTTAGGGAAGATCTCCGAAATGAACTTTTTGCTAGAGGAGTTGACACTTTAGAAGCGGCCTGCAGTTTAGTGCTTGACCTCGAAGAATCTTGGACCCATTCTAAACATCCAGATTCCTGCCCAACCCTGTATAGGGATTCCTCCAGTCAACCCCAAAACCGACCTGCTGGCCCTATGATTAACCGACCGACTAATATTCAACCCCAACCTCATCCTGATTTTAAAGGAAAAACCCCTGAACGCGACGCTCCCAAAGCCACCTTTGGAACCAAGTGCTATAGGTGCCATGGTTATGGACACATTGCTTCGTAGTGTTCTAGCTTGTACAAGGTTACCATCATTGAAGAGGTTGAAGAAGAAGAAGAAGAAGAAGAAGAAGAAGAAGAACAAGAGACTAATGTGGGCTCCGAAAATTCGGCCCCGGCCTCCCCGCCGCGCTTTTCTTTTCCTTTTTTATTCGGCGAGGGAGTTTTAACTGAATAAGTTCCGAAGTAAATTTTGGAAGGCAGATGAGTTTGTAGATAAGACACTACCCAGAGATTTCGCCCTCATTTTGCGAGGACTTTATGATCTGAGTTCTAGTTTCCTATAGGCGCAAGCCCCTATAGTTAATTACCCCTCCCGATCACGAGAGAGAACTTTCGATTAAGGCTAGTCGTCAATCAGATACGTAGAGAATACGTGTTATCTGGCATATAGTAGCAGCATAGGTTTGAATTTGAAAATTGGATTTGGATATTTGAAATTGGGTTTGAAGTTTAATATTTATAAAAAGAAATTTTTCCATCTTGCACTTAAATACGGATGGTGGGGAATGGATGATAGACCCGAATCCAAGATCCCATGTTATTCCGTCGTCCCGGGCCATCGTGGTCCTGAGTCTAGCTTAGTCAGAGGAGGGTAGTCTACCCAACCCTGACAGAAGGATCCTTATCGGGAGCGCAAGGGTGGCTTCGTCTCCAGGGGACCTTGTAGACCTTGAGGTGGGTGGGTATTTGCCTAAGGGGAACAAATTGATAATCCACCTTAGCTAAACAGAGGCTTTGTGCCCTAGAATTTCGATTTATCAACCTATTGATCATATCTCAAAGGATTTTGATGCCAATAAGGAGCGTATTGATCTGACCATAACCGCTATCTGTGGGCCATTCGCGCGGAAAAACACCGTTTCAGAGGCCGCGGGTCATAACCGTTTATCTGGCAGTGCCATTTGGCGCGAAACTGCGGTTAGAGGACACGTACCAGTTCTTACTGACAAGAGATTTGTTTTGAGAACTGGATCCTACGTGATATTTTCGACTAGGATATTTAGCTCTTTGTGACTTGACGTAAACTTCTAATTTGTCCACCCCAACAAATTGTGCGGAGGGTGGATGGATTTTGCTTAAGTTTTGATGGTTTATTTCATTTTAATATTTTAGAATTTTTTGGAGATTTTGAGATTATTTTTTTGATTTTGTGGAAGATTTTGGCGAATTTGAAAGTGTTTGGAATGGACCTCCAGTTGAGATTTCATTCAACTACGGCCATATCGGGGTGTTCGGAAGGGCAATTCCTTTAAATGGATGAACCTTATCAACTCTACGGGCTGTGACAGAGGATCGTGTTTGTTCATAGGCTTTATGCCCTTTAGATAGTGAATTCTTCTCATTGTTGTAGGCCTTAAGCCTAATATAATGTATTAAGACAAATGATGAACGGTGAAACTTATATTGTTTTGATCGGTTCGAACCATCCCACTGTCGACTCGTTGATGACCACCAAAGATCTTCGACTCTGTAATTTACTTGTCAACCCCGCAGCTATCCTAGACGTCAGGTGTGTCCAATAACAACGCTCCGCTGGGGCCCATGCGGTTGAGAATGATATTGCCCTTTAGTGGACCTATAGGTGTATAGCAATTATATTGCATACGTGCAGGGGGTATTTTGGAATATTTTAGAGACGTCTTCTGTCTGCTTGTACGGATATTGCAGATCCGGTGGCGTATTGTAGCAGTTGCTGGATCAGTGGTTTGCTGCTTCGTACAGGTAGATGTCGTGCACTAGTTTGTTTTTGGCAGGTAGTCGTAGTGCACTAACTAATCTCTGCCTTACTCGTAGGTGACTGCATGCGTTGTAGTTCTCTTTTACTTGCTCATATATAACATGTTACTTATATAGTGAGTTTCCCACAGTGACTCGTGGAAGCTTGCTTTTGATGTGGCCTTTTGATATTTTTCTCGTAGATGACATTCAGTGTGTGTGATGAGTCTTCCACAATGGTCTGAAGGAGCTTGCATTTTGCTGTAATCCTTTTGAATTTTGCTCATATATGGCACTTGGTGAATATGGCAGGTCTCCTACGATGATTTATAGGAACTTGTGTTTATCCATAATCCCCTTTTGTATTTGTCCACAATATAGCATATAGTGCATACAGCGGATCTTCTGTAGATGACTCATAATATTTGCATATTGCTGCATATCTTTCCCGTTTATTTGTAGATAAGTTGTTTGCATTTATATTAGGAAGGACGACTTTTTATTGGCATGACTCCATCATCATTGACTTTGAGTGGATCATTGGA